ATCAATGAAGTTAATGACCTTAAGAAAAAAACCGACAATGTTGCGAAATTATCCAGGAAATATATTGAGCACTATAAACACTCAGCAAATTACCTCAATGGTTTGTATTTCTTAGAAAGAAAAGTAGACGGAAAGCTAAATGACATTTTTCTCTCTACTTACGAAACTTTTCCATCATTCTCTGTTAGAATTAAAAGGGGATTAATAAACGGCTTAGGTTCAATTTTCAAAGCAATGACAGGAAACCTGGATGCTTCAGATGGTGAAAAATTCGAGTCTCTAATAAGCGATTTGCAGCATAATCAAAACAAGTTATCAGAAGCTATCAATAGTCAGAAAACCTTATCTGTCGAACTTATCGATAATTTCAATAAAACTGTAAGTCAGATTACTCATAACCAAAAGCTATTGGAAGCTAAAATAAATCAGCTTTCAACAGCTATGATTAACACACAAGCCTAGCCCTCATGAATATCTATCATATCATAATTTCAGTGCTCCAGGATATAGAAAACTCACTTACTTTTGCAAAATTGGGAATTATGCACCCCAGTGTAATCAAACCAAAACATTTACTTCAAGCACTAAATTCAGTGGTATTAAAACTATCCGCAAAGCAACTCCATTTAAAAGTTACTTTGGATAATATCCCAATTTTTGAAAAGCTCATTAAAATCAGCTGTTATGCAGTTGATAGAAAAATAACATACATTCTTCAAATTGCAATTGTTCATACATACCAATTTGATTATTATCACTTATATTCAATTCCAACCTTTCATAAGGGGTCTGTTCAAAGTAGTCATCCCTTCTGGAAAATATCTTGTAAAGAATGAGTTGTACTTCGCTTTTGCGGGAGACGCATGCATGGAAACGGTCGCAAAACAGTACGTTTGCAAGGAACTGGATTTAAGAAGAATCAATGAATCCAATCCCTGTGAAGTTCAACTCCTGGAACAAAAAGCTCCCACTACCTGCCGAGAAGTAGAAGCCGTAATCACAGAGCCAGTAATGAAGAAACTGCACGATTTCGGACAATGGATCTTGCTTATACCCAATTAAACCACCATTACATTAAGCTGTCAAGACGGCCAAGAAACAGTCAAAGTTTTGGGATCCTACTTAGCCGAAATTCCAGTCGGTTGTACACTGGAACTAAATCAAGACCTGATCGCCAATCAAGAACCTATATCGATTGGAAGCCAGCCAATTATTTTTCCAAATATCGATACCAATACATCAATTGCTACCAAGCCTTCATCTGGACCAAATAGAATTTGATGAAGTTCACAAAGTAAAAGAAGATTAATAGAAAATCGTGTTTCCATCCATTCACACAAGGTGTCGCACATTCCCAGTTCTTGGACAATCCTGTTGTATGGAGTACTGCTGCTGCTACTTTGCTGTTTTGTCTACATTCCGAAGATTTTTACTAAGCCGAAGAAACCACAAAGAACCCCTATTGAATAAGTTGATCTTTCCAATGTGCAACGTCCTCGTTAACCCTCGAAGTTGCATCTACAAGGGGAGGCGTTATAGTACAGAAGATTTACCGCTACCACTAAGGAAGAGGATCGAGTTTCCCTGGATCAGCACTTTGCCTTATCCAGTCTTATTTTATTGTATTCACAGTTAGTTAGTCTGTTGTTAGCGCTCATACTATATACATCAATAGAGTATTTTGATAATCGAAAATAAATCAATTTAAAAAGCAAGTAGACTGACTTGGTCAGATAATTCGCGTTTACGCTTGATCAGATCCAAGTGCAGGACGGAATTAGGTTTTGTTTAGGTTTGACTCATTTGGCGGAGAACATCTCGGTAACGTTAAGACTTTGGATATGTTATTAGAAAAAATTGCTTGTTGTTTCAAGATCTACAGGGTGTCCCAGAAGTCGACGTCAAACCGAAACTGGGTAATAGGCAAAGTCATAACAGCTATCAGAAAAATATTTAAAAAAATTTTTTGTATGTGTTTTGAAAATTATAGGTCTTTCAAAAAAATATAGAAATTTCACACCCTACGGCAGTCTGTCAACTCCTGTTACTATAAATATTGACTTTTTTTGATTTTATTTTTACAATGTAATGATGAATAATGCATCTTCAAACTGGTGTCTCAACCTTACTGCCAACTGTTCTCGTTCAGGAAAAATTGCCACTTATTTCCCAACCAAGTATTCCAAAGTAAAACTTTGCTCAACTTTAACTGGCTGTACTGGAAAAAATGTACTACGAGAGTTCGGCAAGTAACCTTAAAAGTTGGCGCATTTAATAAGGATTCCAAAATGGTATAACACTTAGAAGATTACTCTTTAACTTATGCACAATTTTTATTTGAAGAAAAACTGATGAAAATTTTTCAAAATTTCCTAATTAAACAGCGATTATGAAAACACACAAGGACCCGCAATACACGCTCGACATCTTCTTAAAAAAGATCGGGTTATTAAACGAGCGAATCCACGGTTATTAACAAACTCAGCTGCTTCCAATAGTCTTTGCCGTAGCTCAGCTACATTTTGAAACGGCTTGAAATACACTTTTCCTTTTACAGTTCCCCAGTAAAAAAATCTAACGTATTCAAATCTGGTGACCGGGCTGGCCACGGTATTGTACCAGACCGCCCTATCCATCTGCCTGGAAAGTTTTGATCGAGATACTCTCTCACTGAGAGTACATAGTGCGCTGGGCAGCCATCATGCTGAAACCACATGTCCCTGTAAATACTCAGTGGCACGTCCTCCAATAAATTTTCTAAATGATTTTGCGAAAAACCTAAATAAACCTCAGCAGTCAAAGCCTCGGGGAACTCAAACGGACCGATTACTTTACCATTTAAAATTCCTGTCCAATGGTTTATTTTGAAGCGATATTGAGATTTATCTTCTCTCATCAAATGTGGGTTTGCTACGTGCCACTCGTGTAAGTTAGGCAAGTTCATGTACCCATCTTTCTTAAATGTGGTCTCATCTGACCATACAATTTTTTCAAAGAACCGTGGATCTTCCCTGTGTCTTTCTAACATTGTGCGACAAAAAGCAACTCGGGGCTCATAATCCCGGGGCAGAAGAGCTTGAACACGCTGTACGTGGTACGGATGGAGCACGTTTTTTTGCAAGATTCTATGGGCTGTACTTTTGGGCACACCTGTTTTTAGTTCTACTGCACGCACTGAAGTACTCGGGTCTTCTTCGACAGCTCCTAGCACCACGTCTTCGTAAGGAAGGAAAGATCTTCCCTCACCGTGTGGTTGGTTTGGTAGTTGGCCCTCTGAGAACAGTAAGCGGTGCACATTTGTGAACACTCGATGATCTGGATGACGAGCTGCATACGGGTACCTCTCACAGTAAAGTCTCGCTGCAGCACTAGCGTTGCATCTGCATTCTCCATAAATGAGGTGCATGTTAGCATATTCTTGTACGGTGTACACGGACATAGCGGCACTACACAATCACACTATCAAAGATAGTCTAAGGAAAGCAAATGTTGTTTTGAAGAGCAATTAAACAGTCCAAATCCAAATCACAAGCGATCAACAGTCCAGTTCATGAATCCAAAATTAGTAACAATACGAAATCAACAAGCACGAACATGTAAAGATGCGCAGTAAACGAAGGAGTACTGATCGGTATCAAAGTGTGCAATAGCAAGTAAGTGATGTGCTTCATCCATACCACATACAGCGTGTTCAACCTCTCCTACCCCGGGATTATGAGCCCCGAGTTGCTTTTTGTCACACAATGTTAGAAAGACACAGGAAAGATCCACATTTCTTTGAAAAAATTGTATGGTCGGATGAGACCACCTTTAAGAAAGATGGGTACATGAACCTGCATAATTTACACGAGTGGCACGTAGCAAACCCACATTTGATGAGAGAAGATAAATCTCAATATCGCTTCAGATAAACCATTGGACAGGAATTTTAAATGGTAAAATAATCGGTCCGTTTGAGTTCCCAGAGACTTTGACTGCTGAAGTTTATTTGGATATTTTGAAAAATCATGTACAAAATTTATTGGTGGACGTGTCACTGAGTATTTACAGGGACATGTGGTTTCAGCATGATGGCTGCCCAGCGCACTATGCACTCTCAACTTTCCAGGCAGATGGATAAGGCGGTCTGGTACAATACCGTGGCCAGCCCGATCACCTGACTTCAATCCTTTATATTTTTTTACTGGGGAACTGTAAAAGAAAAAGTGTATCTCAAGCCGATTCAAAATGTAGCTGAGCTAGATGTCGAGCGTGTATTGCGGCTGAAGGAAAACAGTTTGAGCATTTGCTGTAAAGGTAAATCATCATCAGCAGCATTTTGGCGCCCACTGTTGTGCAAACAGTTATCCTTAAGGGTCCTTATGCGTTTTCATAATCGCTGTTTAATTAGGAAATTTTGAAAAATTTTCATCAGTTTTTTTTCAAATAAAAATTGTGCATAAGTTAACGAGTAATCTTCTAAGTGTTATACCATTTTGCAATCTTTATTAAATGCGCCAAATTTTAAGGTTACCTGCCAAACTCTCGTAGTACATTTTTTTCCAGTACAGCCAGTTAAAGTTGAGCAAAGTTTTACTCTGGAATACTTGGTTGGGAAATAAGTGGCAATTTTTCCTGAACGAGAAAAGTTGGCAGTAAGGTTGAAACACCAGTTTGAAGATGCATTATTCATCATTAAATTGTCAAAAAAAAAATCCGAAAAAAGTTAATATTTGTAGTAACAGGAGTTGACAGACTGCCGTAGGGTGTGAAATTTCTATATCTTTTTCAAGGACCTATAATTTTCAAAACACATACATAAAATGTTTTTTAAATATTTTTCTGATAGCTGTTATGACTTTGCCTATCACCCGGTTTCGGCTTGACGTCGACTTCTGGGACACCCTGTATACGCAGCATAAAGGAAAGTCCCAACTTAATAGTCGTCTTTGGACGCTTGACTAAAATTCGAATCAGCCAGCCGTCTCACAACATTTTGTAAAATATGAACATATACATACCTTGACTTCCGCCTGTAACGACAGCAGTTTTCCCCGCCAGACATACAGGACAGGAACAATGGAAATTATAAATCAGGGCATATAGCTTCATGAGTCCGACAACAGCTACACATCCTAAAATAAGTAGGATAAAAAGAAGAATAACCCATGGTATAGGCGCCGTTGACATTTCCAATTTGGAGTCACACCGAAAGTATAAACGAAATATCTGCTTAATGAGCACAGCAGTCTTTAAATAAAAGCAATAATATTCAAATAATACGTTTCCAGAGGTGGCAGCAAGAAACTTTTGAATAAGGATCAAATTACTTTACAAGTAAGCTTCTCGAAGCTGCTGAACAGCGTATTGATGATATGAAGCAGTGCACCAATCCGTCACAGAACATCTTTGATATCGTCTATTTGTTTTTTATAATCTTATCGTTTGCTAACAACGCGGCATTTCCTAGTGCACTTTTACTAACCCCGATAACCTTAAAGCAGTAATAGAGCAGTGCCTGGATCACGTTGAAGCATACTTCAATTCCATCGAACGAACACAAAATGCTCCTTTTTATTAGTAATGACCTGCGAATTCCTTATAACTTTGAATGCATGCCCAATGAGGGAAAATAATAATAATAATAGACGTCTTTATTTATCCACAATTACATTGTAGTATAGCCAAATGTCAGACTTATATGGCGAAGTTTAGCATGCTGCTACTCTTACACTTAACCATATAGTCTCTAGCAGATGTTCAAAAGAATACACTATCTACAAACAGATTTGGTTCATTACATCGAAAGTAAAATTTAAAAAAAGAGGAAAAGGCATACTTTCCAAACCCAAATCCACCAAAAAATTATTAATCTGAATTAAAGATGAAATAAAAAAGAAATTGTATGAATGTAAATTATATGTTTGGAGGGTTGAGTAATAATGTTTTAACTTTTTGTCGAAAGACAGGTAATGAAAATTCTTTATATACTTTAGGAAGGTCATTATAAATAATAGCAACATTGTAAGAAAAACTATGCAGGGGTATTCTACTATTATTTTCTCTGAGAGTTCTACAGTGAACATCATTATTAAATGAAATTTTTTCCTTCAAGTAATAAGGTTTAGACGTGAGCAGCAATTTGTGAACAAAAACTGAATAGTGATACTTGACCATGTCATTAATTTTTAACCAGTTTAGAACGGGATATTTCGCTGATACATGATCAAATTTACGTAAACCAAAAATAAATCGTATACAATTGTTTTGAATAACTTGAATAACTTTTTTAGTGAAATTGTCTAAACAAGTATAGTATACGATATTACAATAATTTAGTATAGATATGACCAATGCTTCACATAGTTTTTTACGCAATTTAAAATTTAGTAAATACCTGTTTGCTATAAGAGTGCGCAGCCGTAGGTAGGTTTTCTGAGATAGACTTTTAACATGTTCAATAAACCTTAATTTTGTATCAAAAACAACACCAAGAATTTTTGCAAAATCAGAAAATTGCAAAATTTGGTTATTTATCTGAATGTTCAAGAGCTGTGTTACATTGTATGTTTTTCTTAGTGCGCAAAATAATAACATTTTAGATGTTTGTGGATTAATAAGTAGATTGTGATCTAAAGAGTATTTAATTAATTTATTAACATCGTTTTGTAAAATTTGAGTAGTATTATTGACATTATCTGGGTTAAAATAATGGAGCAATTGCGTATCGTCTGCAAATGACTGGACATGAGAATTATCAACACTTTTGCTTAAGTCGAACGTATATATGAGGAACAGAAGCGGCCCCAATACCGAGCCCTGAGGTACGCCTGAGGGAATTATTGTCACTTGAGACATTTCTTGATTGAGAAAAACACACTGAGTTCTTTGATGAAGGTAACTGTCGAAAAATGAAAGGGATACACTGTCAAGACCTATGTAATTGAATTTAGCAAGTAATAATTTATGATTGATGCTGTCAAAGGCTTTCGAATAGTCTATAGAGATTAAGGCTAGTGCCATTTTCTTATCTAAGGCACTTAAAATATTGTCTTGCAGATTAAGTAGGGCAGATGTGCTATAATTTTTTCTAAAACCGGATTGAGTGTCGGGAAGTATAAAGAATTTGTCTAGGTAAGCGGTCAATTGGAACTTTATAATTTTTTCTAAAATTTTGGATAAAATTGGTAATAAACTGATAGGTCTGAGATCATTATACTCAGTGCGTTTCATTTTTTTAGGAATTGGAATAATTAGAGCTTGTTTCCATGTGTTTGGAAAGTAGCCTTTTTCCAAACAGTCGTTAAAGATGTGGACGATGTGATGGAGAATAACTGGCAGGCAAAGCTGGAGCATTGACAGTGATATACCATCAATTCCCTTTGCATCAGATTTTAGGCTCCCTATTGCATGTAATACGTCATTAGAACTAATCTTATTCAATGAAAAAATATATTCAGAGCTTAATTTATTTTAGAAATAGTTTTCGCAAACTAGTGAATCAACAGGTTTATAGCTATAAACAGACATAAAATAATCATTAATTTTGGTAGGGTCATTAAAACTTGCCGGAAGGGTTGGTTTACTACGAAAATTTATATCAAGTTGTTTGAGAGACTTCCACAATTTTTTTGAATCATTTTCATTTGCCAAATTTCCGATATATGTCTTTTTGTCCCTCCTGATCATGTTAACAGCACGGTTTCTAAGCGATTTGAAGTTATTATAGGCGTCCACGGTCTTATTAGTTTTATATAAAGCTTGTTCAGTATTCTTTTCATCAAGAACAGTGCGCAGTTCATTTGTTAACCAAGGTGATGGTTGCTTATTAACTCTTACAGTTTCAAAAGGTGCATGTTTATTATAGGTTTCCACGATAACGCTTGTAATGTGCATTACCTTCTCATCAAAATGACGCAAAGAGAAGAGGAACAAAACAGTTCCGGTGCACTGTGAAAACTTGGTCAATTAAGCAGAAAATTTTCATTACCCGTAATTATTCTAAGTAACGAAACTATAAGTAAAAATCACGAAAGATGACTATTACGTCATACCATAGATTGTACTGAAGTAATCAATGGACGTACGTCAATGATAAAATCACGATGTCACGAATTTATATTATGATTTTGGAAAGCTATTAATTTCAGTCGGGAGGTTTTGTTTTCAAAAAAACAGTTATGAGTAGAATACCTTAAGACAGTAAGACCAGAAACCAAAGTATGATTCGAAAACAACCTAACCCGCTGTAACATAACTTAACTAATCATCTTCCAAATATGATCGATCATGCAACATGAAAACGTCGTCTATCTTTGTCGGATACAATTAGCAATACAGAGTGTTTAGACAATAAAATTCTATTTGTCTCTATCTAACATATCTGAAATTTCATTAAAAATATTCACAAATCGCTGTCTTTACTACAAACTAAAATGATGACGTAATCGTCATCTCTCGTGATTTCGACTATATTCGGTTTAAATACACTGCATTTTCTGAAACCACTTTAATTGAAGTTAATATACTGAAAAACTAAATTGCTTGAAAAAAGCAAACCTGTTTTACTCAGCTTAGGTAATTTATTAGTTTATGCAGAAACAAATAAAAAATTGAACGAACAGTTCAACTGTTTTTATCAAAAGGACTCATTTTCTACATAGATCTCCATTAAATATTTGGGCTGGCGTGGTAAATGGCATGCTTATTGGACCCCACCTTTTTCCAACTCCACTGAACGGTTAAAGTTAATTAGATTCTCTTCGGCACAATATGCCACAATTATTAGAAGATTTTCCACTGTATGTGAGACATAATATGTGGTTCCTACATGATGGGGCTCCACCACACTTTACAGACGAGAAGCTTATGAGCATCTAAATCATTCATTCCGAATAGATGGATAGGGCTCAATGGACCCATTTCTTCGCCTGCTTGCTCCCCGGATTTAACGCCTTGCGATTTTTTTCTGTGGGCTATTTGATGGAGCAGAAAATAGGTACTCTGGAAGGACTTCAACAGCACACTGAAAATGCTTGTGATATAATGGACAAGGTTACCATTTATTCATTATTACCTCAAATGAAATTTTGAGGGAAATGAAACAAGATGGTGAAGAAATTATTAATTTATATCTAAAAACAAAAAAGGTACAGCTTATCAAAGTTGCGCCCCGCGAGAAGATTTTTATTCCTTCTGAACGCGACGCGTTACGTCACACTTCACTGTCCTGTTGCGACTCCTGGGCCCGAGCCGATTCAATGACCCAAACATACGCATAGGTCATAGGTGGACATACAGCGGGAATACGCGGTAGGCTAAACGTCTTCCGCGCCATTTTTTTTTAATTAGTTTACTGCATATTCGATCGGTTATGAGCGAAATAACAAAAAGCGGTTGTTAGCAATATTGTATCGTTCAAATATGAACGAGCACAACAATATTACAACCCTTATAAACATTATTTCTACGTACCCTCACATGAACATATCAGGAAGAAATGATGCAAACTTGAAGCGTGATATGATTGAACCAGAAAGTACAACACTTTGATGTGAGTAAAACACTAACTATTTATATATTAATGATCATTCGTTAATATATGATTTCCAAGCTCATTGGGCGGATAAATATTTAACAACTAATATTGCAGATCACCTATTTTAGCTCAGCGAGAATAGCTGTGAGCTATACTATAACTATCTAAAACTGTAATGACTCATCAATGTTCACGTGAACATCACTTAACTACCAGTAGTCGGCTGTTCATAGGCGGGGTATGAATGTTTAACATGGGTGAACTAGATTTGTCACATGCTTAATAAAGAGTGGTTCGAAACATATTGTAAGTCAAAAATTTGGGAATTACCTTTATTCATCGTCGCTTCCACTTACATCTGACAGTAATAAACTGTCGCTATCGCTTTCCTCGTTGAAATTGACTATAACTGGCTCTATGATGGTGTCGATGTAGTGGTCAAGCTGCCACATTTTTGTTTCTTCCTTCACAACATGTCGGATAGCATTCTGCCAAGTTTCGGACATTACTAGCTGTATGGAAGTCTCAAGTAAAACCTTAACGTCTGGTAGAGATGAGCTCTATTGACGGGCCATCTCATCAGTCACGTAACTAATGTTCGCAGGTTTGTGCTGTTTAATTTTTTCATACAATTTCGCTTTCATACATGAATCGTCAAACGGGATTCCTTTTTCGCGCAACCATTGCTGCATGTCACTTTTTCGAGATCCCATAGTCGGTACACGTTCGGCTCGACGACTATGGTAGGAAGCATTATCCATGACGATCACAGAGTTGGGCTCAACTCGCTGAAGCACCCCTTGAAACCAGCTCTCGAAACAGCTGGCATTCATTT